GAATCGCGCGACTAGAGCACTATTCACGATCACACGGAGGCATGCTGGCTAATATGGCTAATACGGTTACTGACTTGGCCGACGCAGTGAGACGTGTAGAGATNGGGGACAACCCCAATACTTGAAATGGCGCGCGCTTACGGTCTCCGTCCCCGATTATGGCTCCTGGTTGTGTTCTTGGGCAAGACACTTTACTCTCACAGTGCATCTATCTACCCAGGTGTATAAATGTCTATCGGCGAATTCAATGCTAGGGGGTGACCCTGAAATGGACCAGCATCCCATCCAGGGAAGAGTAGAAACTCCTCGCTCTGACCTGATGGGCCACTTGGATCTTATGTAGACTTTTTTCAGTCTGTATTTATGCACTGGGGGGTAGAAACGTAGTGAGAGGATTTTGCCACGTTTCTAACCTGTAATGAACTGTCATTCCATCCGGGAATTTGAGTAGTCGCCTCATCCTACAGAAACCGGAGTCAGTTAAGAACGATGATCAGTACGAGTTGATTTTATCGGGTTGGTGTAAAACCTCTTACGGACATCGCGTATTTTACATTTGTAAGGTATCGATTAGATCGAATTACATGTACAGTATTTAAAAAACACACTCGCGTCGAGTTTTAGAACATAAACAAGTAAAAATTGTTGACGTCAAGTAAGTAACGTATCACTTCTTCACGGCCGTAGTGCCGAACGCTTGTTCTAGCTAACATCGGTTTGTGATTATACGTGCCTACCTAGCCCGATTCTCAAGACGGTACAGGTCGCTCTGAAAATCAAAGTACCTACGTGGTAAGAGAATCAAAAGACAGTAAAAAACTTGAAGGGAAAACGAAATTTTGTTAAAATATAACTAATAACCACGTAAAAACCATTTAAGGTCAAGTGCAAGTGGGAGACAATATAATAAATAGCAGCCATCTAGACCAAGCTATTATTAGGTCGCTGAAGAACTGACTAAGCACGTAATGTTGCAACTGAGCTTAAAGTTGTTTTAATCGAGACGTTCATACCTGAATTGTGCTCAAGTTCTGAAGCGGTTTGTCAAGGAAACTCTCCCCAGCAAAGGCTCCATCAGTGTGTATACCGCTTAACTATATTTAAACCAATGGTGTCAACACATATTAAACCATTGTCTAAAAAAAACCTACCAAATTGAAAACTCATTTGATTGCATGTCACTTCGCTCATGCAATAAAATTTCATGTTAAAAATACCTCCGGTATCGTATTGAGATCAGTTCGAAAATAGTTCAGCTTTTTTTAGATGTCCTTTTTTAAAGGCTAACCATCCATTTTAGAATTGTATATTTTTATTATTAGCACCATTGACAAGTCTTGCACTGATTAAATTACAACATCAAAAAGGAAAAAAGAAATGGAACAAAGCCGAAAAAAGAAAAATGTACAACTAAAACAAATTAACAAGACATATATTTTTCACTTTCAAAGGAAGATTCTAGAGTTTGGTTTACTTCTATGCTTACTTGTGTTCTTATTTACCGTTACTTTCTTTGTTTGAAAGCATCATATTATCGATATCCTTCTTCCGGTCGATGATGTTAAAAAACTTATTTACACCGAGGTAATCAAGATTTGTGGTGATACACAAGTGCTGGTTGTAATCCAAATTCAGTGAACCCACTCATTACTAGACATTTTATGATAGATTAAAAAAATAAATAAACTAACAACAGTTAATTAATTATAATTACCGTGAATCCATAATGGCGTAGACCTACTTTACATCAAGTTTTGAATGACCTATCTTGCGAAATATTTAAGTCATATTGTTTTCTTTTCTTTTTTTTTCTTTTTCTTTTTTAATTTGTGATCTTTAAAATAGTAGGCTATCAAGGTAGAAAAACATTGAGAGGAAATATAAACCTCAAATAATCAAGGATGGCGTTGTGTGAAAAAGATAGAGACTAGTGTGCGCGAAGAATTCATGAAATTTGGGCTAGATTGTTCAAGGTGGAAAACATTTAATTTCTTAATCAAGAAGAAATACTAGGACTCAATTAAGAAAACTATAATCTAAATAATTTATCAACAGATTCTCACAACTGACTGAGTGAAATGATTATAGCAAAATGTAAGTGGAATTCTCATTTGATACTTTTTCTGAGATTTAAGTTACACCTCGCTTTATTAGCACATAATCATTCATTAAATCTAAATCTAAATTTAGTACAGGTTATCAAGACATCTTGAAATGCGGAATTCTCTGTTGATCCAGCACTTGTTGCAATGTTTGCATTCCCCTTAGGAAAACTGCAATTAGCGTCAAATTACCGAGACGTCACGTGAAACGCCAATCACCGACTCCAAAAGCTCGATGGAATCGGATGATAAAAAGACGTCGTGATGCCACGCGCGCGAGCATTTCTGGTCTCGATTAGCTGTACAGAAGGCCTTGTACTTTGCAGCTTAGTGGCTTACTTCTTATCAGAATATTAATGGAGAAGTTAAAGATGGAGTTCACTGGTAGGCGTCGATCCATCTCAGGGAACATCAGCTCGGCGTCCAGCGAAACTTCCTCTCGCAGCGGGGATTCATCTCCTGTGGTAGAAAATACCTTGAATGAGGTGGAAAGTCAAATCAGCGATATGGCGGACATCGCAAAAAGACGGCGGCAGCGTAGAAGCAAATCTGTCCCACACGTGAGACGATTTAACTGCTCTGCAGCAGATGATACGTTTGACTTCACTTTCAGCACCAAACTAGATGCGTCAAGCTTCCAGGAACTGCCGACTACAACTCTCTGTTCAACGGAACTTTGACGTTGAGGAAGACGAGGCATAGATCCTTTTTAAGGAAGGCCTTTACTTCCTTTCTCGTAATTATATTCCGATCTGCACAAGTTGAATCAACAGTGCTAAATTGACTGCGTCATCGTGATGTTAGAGTTGGCCAGCATCTCTGTTTTCCTCAGCGTCAAGACATTTATTGTGAAAGCAGTTTTTCAGGAAAACAAACAAGATTGTTATGACCTCGTTAGACTGAAACCACCACCGTGTCTGGGATGCGAAC